GACGCTCCCCTCTCGGCTCCCGTAGTTCCGAGTGGGCTCAGCCCACCCCACGCGCGTTTGCCATAGAGATAGCATGGCAGTGAGCAGGGAAGTACTCGTTTAGAAAAAAGGCACAGTGTCATCAGTAATATGGAATTGGTTCCGTTTTGCCATGTCAGATGCAGAACAAACAACACCCTGCTGCAAAGTGTGTTTAAAGTCTGTTTCTGCCAAATGTAGCAGTACGACCAATTTAATGCAGCACCTCAAACAGAGGCATGCTGCCAAGTGGGAGAGATGTCGCGCCCTACAAAATGAACGAAACAGTGGGAGCCAAAGTACACCCGCCAAAAAACAACCCACAGTCTTACAAACATTTATAAAAGGTATCCCGTATGATAAGAATGGGGCCCGATGGAAAGCGATCACGAAATCTGTCGCGATGTATATCGCAAAAGATATGGTGCCCATATATACTGTGGAAAATCCGGGGTTTAATAACATGCTGAAAGTTTTGGACACCAGGTATGTTTTACCAAGCTGCAAATATTTTTCTGAAGTTGCCTTGCCTCAGCTATATAACAATACATGCCAAAGGATCACTAGGGAGCTGGAAGGAGTGTCGTTTTACTCCGCAACAACAGATTTATGGCAACTGATGGTTCTGATCTTTCTGACCACATATTTCCAGGTGTGCCCCTTCACTTCACATCTGTATCATCTGTGAGAGGTTTGTGTCAGATGTGATAACCAAACCGAACCTCAACAATCAAATGAATCCAGTTTGATTTCAGTCCCATGACATGTTTCTTACAGCTTGTCTAATCCAACGACAAATACTGTTGACAGTGATCTCTCTGAAATGTCCTGTAAAATATCAAAGCTAAGTATAAGTGAGAGGAGAAAATTTAAGAGGAGACTGATGCGTTCACAAAAATTACCACAGAGAAAAGAAAATCAAACAAGGAAACACAGGGAAGAGAATGCTTCAAATGAAAGCTACAAAGCAAAGAAAAAAAATCTTACACAAGTAAAAAAATATCACAGCAATCCTGAATTTAGACAGAGAGAGAGAATGTGTCTGTGAGATTGTGCTGGTTGAGGTGGAGCAGGGTAATAATTAAATGATTTATAAAAAACAGAAAAACATTGTGTGGATGCTTTTCAGCATCCACACAATTATTTGTTTATGATTTCAGTATCTATTACATCTCTTACCTGTACTAATATGCTGATAACACCCCACAGGGGGTTGGTTTCACATTACATTCATCACATTATTCACTGACTAACCAGTAGGGGCGCTAATATGTAGTCTCTAAGAGGAAGGCTACATGGGATTTGTGGTCAGTTTGCCCAGCTGCCATTTTGTCCCCTACAGCTCCATTAGCTATTTTGTCTCAAGGTAACACAGCCCAGCTCATCCTGCATGAAACCAATTGCTCTGCAGCTGTTCTTAACAATTCTTCATCAATATGTAGATGCACACATTTGTTTTTACACATCACAAATGGGTTAGCAGAACATTAAAGATGTTCTGTGTCCCTTTTTTAATCCTCCATTTGTATCATGCAACTGTTTTACTATTTTACAGAAGTGAGTCTTTAGGACAGGCACTGAGGGCCTTATGATTTAGGAAGTAGCAGCAGGGGGAGAGCAGGCATTTACAATAGGCTGCCATGTGTGTATTATCATATCAGAACTATTCCCAGTCATTGTACAGTATCTTCTGCAATATTCTCCATGTTATTCATAGAACTACCACAGGGGACGCTACTGATGTAGAGGCTTATGATTATGCTACATGTTAATCTCCTTTCTGCCACCAGGAACCGTAGTGCTACAGCGGTTTATCCTAAGTACTTACTATCTATGAAGTTTTTCCCTGCTGTACTGCTGATCACTGTGAATCAAAATTTAAAGTTTAAATCTTATCTATGGGGTGAAACAGGCTTTTCACAGCACTAACCTTTATAATTAGAGAATTACTTACAATATTAATTTAATAATTGTTTGATTACAATGATTCTGAAAAGAATAATTAACTCAGTTTTTACATTATATGTATCAAAACCACTGCTGGTAAAATTCCTTGAAACTAAACCGTGGCAGTAACATTTAATACATGTAAATTGCTTAATATTTAATTTAGAGAGGCAAACATTATGTTTGACACCTAATAGCTTTCAGAGAGCAAAAATGTATGTCTGTGTACTGCTGCTCTGTTCTATTTCTAGAGAAGGCCTAATAAAATCCCTTTGATGTAATAACCCTGGTCTGGGGGGTTGCACTGTCCTATTTCCATGAGAAAGAATAATATGCATGCAGGTGTAAGTTGTAAAATGATAAAACTCCAGAAAATGGGATGTGGGGGCAGTGGGTGCAAACAATCATGACATCAGAGGTTGTAAATCATGTCTTCACACCTCACTTTGACAGAAGTGGTATTTTATGACTCTTCTGACCAAATAACTATGGAACTAACTGTAAATGCCAGTGTGTGTCCATGTCTGCTGCGTGTTTAAATAAGATGCTGTTGGCCAACACATTGTATCAGGTGAAATGTGGCAATGATGAGCTTGTTCTTCCAAGTGTTGGAAAAATCAATAAACAAATCAGTTAAAGTTTTAAGGTTATCTACTGTAGCCACCACTAAATACATCTATCAAAAATTAAACAGGACCTATAGATGTTTAATGTCCCAAGTCACTCAAAACTGGCTATGTGCTATAATGGGTGAGGATGTGGAGGTTTTAAATTAACTACTCACTGTGAAATCAGTTTTATCTGAATTTGATTTATTCCTAAAACAGTGTGCAATTGAAAGCACACACTACCTGCAGAAAGCCAGTATGGAGGCTGAATCATTGATGCCAACCAAGCAATGTTACAGTAGTGTTCAGACCAAACACAATGTTAGCACTTATCTAATGCCAGAATAGCAAATCATGTCAGGAACAGATGGGCACATTTTTTACATTTGGGCTGCAAGATATAAAGGATCCTATTTATGGTATTACATTACACTATTGCCAGCCAACTAATATAACAGCTTAAAGTCAGGCTGTGTGCAAAAATTGACAAATTTTAAAAGAAGTCTCATCTCATATCTCATTTTCTATACTGCTTAGTCCCGAACGGGGGCACGGTGGGGCTGGAGCCAATCCCAACCGGCATCAGGCGAAAGGCGGGATACACCCTGGACAGGTCGCTGGTCCATCGCAGGGCCAACACGCAGACGAACAACCACACACACACAATTTAGCATCACCAATCACCCTAAGCCGCATGTCTTTGGATAGTGGGAGGAAACCGGAGTACCCGGAGAGAACCCACGCAAGCACAGGGAGAACATGCAAACTCCACACAGAAAGGTCACGAACCCGAAACCTTCTTGCTATGAGGCAATGGCGCTACCCACCGCACCACCGTGCTGCCCTTTAAAAGAAGTAATTTGGGTTAAATTTATAAATTGGTTAACAATGTATAACCTGACTGATGATGCCTGACACCATACACATAACATAGCACATAGGAGCAGATTACAACAGACTGTAAATACAAGGAACCCGTGCTAATTGACTGTGCACTTTAGGAGTTAATTTCATGGGGTATTCAGTTTTCCATTTGCTACTGTTGCACAGGGGCAAATCTAGACACTTTTGAACAGGGTGGCCAGGCTGGGGCAAAGACTCAGAGAGGGGTGGAGCATTTGAAAAGCATGTCCATCCCTCCATCTTCATCTGCTTCATCTGAGACTAGGTCGCGGGGGCAGTAGCCCGAGCAGAGTCTCCCAGACTTTCCTCTCCCCACACACCTCCTCTAGCTCCTCAGGAGGATCCCCAGGCGTTACCAGGCCAGCCAGGAGATATAGTCTCTCCAACGTGTCCTGGGTCTGCCCCGAGGCCTTCTCCCGGAGGGACATGCCCGGAATACCTCCCCAGGGGGCATCCTAAACAGGTGCCCGAGCCAACCTCTACTCCCTCCCTGGAACCGACACCTTAATGTGGTGGAGGGGTTTGAGTGCCTGAATGATCCCAGGAGCTATGTTGTCGGGGGCTATATGTCCCCGGTAGGGTCTCTCATGGCAAACAGGTCCTGGGTGACAGACCAGACAAAGGGTGGTCCATAGGCCACTTATGATGAACAAACAAATCAAGGCTCAAATTTACCCTGCCCGGTGTGGGGTCACCGGGGCCCCACCCTGAAGCCAGGCCTGGGGGATCTATGAAATAGCAAGTGCCTGGTGGCCAGGCCCATACCCATGGGGCCTGGTTGGGCTCAGCCCGAAACCACAACGTGGAGCCACTCTTCGGTGGGCTCACCATCTGCTGGAGAGGCCATAGGGGGCCGGTGCATTGTGTTTTGGGCAGTGGCCGGGGCCGAGTGCCCGGCTGACCCAAACCTTGGACACCAACTCTGGTTTTTTGGGGACTGAAAAGTATGTAAAAACTAAATTAAACCCCTAGTTCTATGAAATAATAAACCATACATTATTAAGAATCAAACTGTTTATTTAGTGTAAGAATGAGACAAACATAGTGCTTTCTTTAGCTGACTTTGGCTGTGCTCCTTATTTACTCCTGGCTGGGGACACTGCTGCTGCACAGTGGTTCCTCCCACTGAGGCGAGTCATGCCAAGTACTCCACAACAACACAATCGGAGAAAAGAATGCAAATATCATGATGCATGTATGATATAAAATAAAACTACTGTAAGCACCAGAAAAATGTTATTTGTATTTCAGGCAACAAGTTGTCATTGTTTTTCAGTTTTCATTCATTAATACTGACAAGCCTAAAATTTTGACTCTGGCAGGGGTGGCACAAGGGGTGGTGACCAATCAGATCAGGCCAAGAGTGGCACTGGCCACCAAACATCATGTTAACACTAATCTAATGGCACCGCCCGTGCTGCCACACCTGTCTCAAAAAATTGGGATGGGGATATGAATGGGAAATAAGCATACTGGTGTGTCTTTAATTAATACCAGTAAGGGCAGTACCATCTGTGTGCCTACCTGTGGCTGATCTGTGTCCCACGTAGACTGGACATGGTTTCCTCAAGGTTTTGCCGCAGGTCAGCAATGTTCTTCACTGTCCTCATGCGTCTTGTCTCAGGGTCCTCTCCTGAAGACATACATTTAATAGGATTTATTGAGTTGTTTGGAACACACACATAATAGTCATCCATACCCACAAAGGCTACAAACACACACACACACACACAAAGAAGTGAGGACATCTAACATACAGTACTTCATTGGATGTCACTGAATGTCTCAGCAAGGGGAACAGAATGATGACCGATCATGATAACAGGCAGCATGGGTGCACGTCCCAAAACCCCATGTGGACAATTTGGAGGCCATAAAATAAATCAGTCTGTCAGGCTGCATCACACACGGTTCTTTTACTCTAAAAAACATTATTTTACACAGTATTGACATTTTTCTTCAGGCCAATGCAGAAATGTCATGTTATGACACCACACACTCTGTCAGCTAGCTGTGGACACAGTTGTGCCTGCGAGAGCAAACTCTGTCAGTGTTCCTGTGCTTCTCTGCCAGGCATGGCAGAAATTGCTGCCACTTCAGTCCACTATTGTCCCGTGCCCTACAGCAGTATACAGCTATGAAAGCACTTAATATGTTTCATATTCTTCTCAGTGCATTGTTTACACATGAAGTACTAGTTTCACTGAGGCATTTCTTATTGTCAAGGAGTGCGGCTAATAATGTTTGGGAAACATTTCAGAACTGTGGGTGCACACCAAAGTGTTTGCTTGTCTGCTCCAATTAAGCCTCTCTGTTAACTTCTCAAGCAAGCTGACTATATCCACTTGTGTGTGCCACAGAATGGGTTAATTAGCATGTAGCATGAGACACAGAATGGATGCTGTCTCCATGGTGGAGATGAATGAGCAAGCAGGTCTCATACAATGCAGCATGATAAGATGAGTGCAAGAAGTTTGCTCTGTCACTGTGTGCTGATTTCAGCACTCTGAGAGAACATTATGACCACAGACAACTGTGGTTACAGTGACTGTGGCAAATGGGGGCAGCAGTAGGTTTGAGGTTTGAAAATGTCTCCTATGACTCCTGTGGCAAAGTTACTGTAGATTCCAGGAGGAGGAAAATTATTATTTATAGTGCATGCAGCAATCTGTAGCAGGTCTGTGCTGAAGACGAGCAAAAATGCTAAGACAGTTTTCCTGGATGAATCGATTTCTGAGATCACTGTGGAGCATCTTATGGAAAAAAAACTTTCTAGCAAAATACACAGACTGTATACATTCATTTGAATGAAAATCTGCAGTTTGCAGAATGGGGCTCTAAATCCTGTCTTTTGCATTTCTACAGTTCGTGTCTTCCCCCCGCACTAACAAAAATGATCTGATTAGAACAGACTATCATGACACAGCCAGTATGTGGCTGAACTTGCACACTGACACCAATCTTTCTGTTTTGCTGTACACTGTGTCTCTGTGTAGATTGTTAGTCACTTGGTCTACCAGGTCCAATAAATGTGAATGTATTCAAGTCCCTTTTATTGAAAGGGAATTCTAATATTAAATTGTTCAATTTTAAACCTGTTTATAACTAATTGTAGTTGTACATATTTTATGTGCTCTGTTTTAAAGGTTTTACATGCTATGACTGTTATAGATGATGAAGCTGTCATGACCATCTCTCTGCTGTTGTTAAATAAAGGTTAGATCAGTGAGTCACAAAAGCACAGGACAACAAAATCTCATTTATATTGTTGTCTTATTAAAAAAGGTTCTGAACCTGAAATATGCATGGATTTAGACATATAAACAGTTGCAGTAAAGATATGACTGAATTACAGGGTTCAGTATGGGTCAACACTGTCACAGTCAAATTGTGTAAAGAATTCAAGCTGTCCAGAAGTCTCTTCACAATACGATGTTTGTGTTTGAAAAACCTTTTTCAAGATTAAGTCATGATCTTAATTATACTTTACCATACTGTGTAATGACCTCACAGGGTAACTAGCAGTTTGACATAATTAAAATCTAAGAGTAGCAGCAGTGCAAATAGTTAAACCCCTTGCATCTAATACCCTAATGTAACAGTTAGCTTACATACATGTATAGCTGCTCCTTCCACTTCGCTACAGAGAGACAAGAAGCCAGAAAGCATTTTATATTTAAGCAGCTGTCCAGCTCTTGGCCCTTGAGACTGAGACCTGGCCAGTGTGGAGCACTGGGGGATGGGGGGTAGGAAAATGGGAATACAAGAGGGGAATCCACATGAACATGCAAACGCATTCTCACACACAGACACATAACATAAATGCTCCTCAAGATAGTTGACACAACATAATGTAAATGACTGCAGTTTGGAACTTACACATGGTCCAGCACACATCCACACACATCCTGTACCTGTGGGTGCTTTACTGCTAGTTCACTCTTTCACTCCAGTGAAATATTATTATATCATCTTCATTCATTCATTTTCTACCGCTTAGTCCCTAAGCAGGGTCGCAGGGGGAGGCCGGAGCCAATCCCGGCCGGCAATCGGGCGAAGGCGGGGTAGACCCTGCACAGGTCGCCAATCCATCGCCGGGCTAACACATAGACAAACAACCACACACACTCATATGAGCAATTTAGAGACACCAATCAACCCAAGGCGCATGTCTTTGGACTGTGGGAGGAAGCCGGAGCACCCGGAGAGAACCCACGCAAGCACGGGGAGAACATGCAAACTCCACACAGAAAGGTCCTGGGTGGGGCCCGAACCCGGAACCTTCTCACTGTGAGGCAACGGTGCCAACCACTGCGCCACTTTGCTGAGATTATATCATCTCAGCCGTCTAAATATAATGTACACAGATGCACGCCCTGTGTTTCAGCATTTTGTCACAAATCAGCCTTAATGAACCTTTAGTTGTCAATTGCTGTGGCAGTGCTTACATCCATGTGCACACGTGCACACACACCTACACACACACACACACACACACACACACACACAGATGTATACACTCACAATTTATGTTCCTGTTGCTGAATGTGCTTTTTAACAGGCATTGCAGCACACTGCAAGCTTCTTAACACTATGTATCAACAACAACTGCTCCCCAAGGCATAAAAGATAACCTGCTACAGTGGCAGCTGGATACTTTGAAAGCCAGTGCCGACAGAGCAAAAGAGCTCTTTAATATGTAAACGTTTTTCTGAGCTACCTGGATAGATGTCTAACACACACAAACACGTAAAGGCATGTACTGAATGTAAACTAAAAGGAAAAAAAAAAAACCTGTCTACACACACACAAACGCAATGAAAGGTGTAATATTAAGCTATTGATCACATTTGCTGTGTGAATTACAGGCAGTGAAAGAGGTGCAAGTGATAATAATTGTTCTTTTTACTGGTGGAAGTTGATTTTCCATTATCTTTATTTCAAGGTGCTTTATGCTGCTTAAAGGAAATCAGCTCTAATGACACTGTATGTAATGGTACCTCTATGGGTATAGGTTAGCTGCTAAAATCACAGTATAGTATTTACAGTAACAATGCTACACACACAGCAGGGTGCCTTATTAACAGAGCACTGTATATATCAAAAATGATGTAAGAGCAATCTTTTTAACTGTCTATTTACACAAATTTAAACTGCTTGTGTAAATCTTGTGGGTGACAATACATTAACATTTGTGGGTGAGTGTGAGACTTGCACAACGGGGGCTGTGTGTGTGTTCATACGCTTTTAAAAATAAGCTTGATATGTTAAAATACATTTTCTGTTACGACACACTCATATTCTGCCCAAGTTTGCTTTTTTAAACCACAACTTGAACATACTGTATGTGCTTTTACTTCATGCACAAAGTTTCCATTTTGTGCTGTCATCACAATAATCTTTAAATATTGAGGCAAAATAACCATCAAATTTTAATGTCTCTAGTAAGTAATACATTCCACGCTCATTTCCTGCGCTTTGCTGACAACGTATTGACTTACGTGGGTGAGGTTGTTTGTGCAGCACCTGCTCCAGATCACCCAGCATGGTAAGAATCAACTCCTTATCCAGCTGAGCTGTACCTTCACGAGGACCTCCCTCTGAAACTTCCTCTTCTGCCCAATACCCGCTGTCCTCCCTGCCTCCCTGCTTTACACCTCCCCTGCCTGCTGCTGGCTCATCATCAGAACGCCTGCTGCTGCTTTCTTCATTTGTTCCTGCCTCACACCTGGACCTCCGCTGCAGTTCAGTTCGTGGAATGCCGCTGTATGATGCTCGCTGTGGACGTCTGCCTGCAGCCGTGCATCGCCAAGGAACAGGGATGAGGGAATGCTCTGACTGAGAAAGCACCTTTGTGAGGGAGAGTGACAGGGATTGTGCTCTGGTGCTCCGCACACCTCCGCCCCTTATGACCACCTCTTTCTTGGTGCTTCTCTGCAGGCTCTCTCCTGCCCGCTGTGTGGAAGGTGAGTACAATGAAGAGTCCAGAGGCTGGGAAAGATGAGGTGGTGGCTTGCCAAGCTCAAAGGAGTAAACTCTCTGTTCACCATCGCCGAGCAGGGTCAGATTAGTGAGCGAGCGCTGCTTGATCCGCAGATTGAGATTGTCGGGGAGAGGCTGGGAAGGCCGTCGAGCTGGGCTGCCTCCCTGATACACAGAGAACTCTGCTCCTCTCTTCATCTCTCCTCACCACTCCCGTCCCTTCGGTCAGCTTACCTGCTTTACCTCTGGTGGCTCAGTGACTGAATGTATGCGTGCAAGTGCATCTATCTATACATGGCTATCTGCTTCACATCTTGGCTGCACTGTCACTGAGAGAACAGATGGAGGGAAGGAGAAACTGGATGACAGAGAAGGAAGAGAGATGTATCCCCACGTCCCACGCCTACTGACTGAGGTCCAGGCTTCAGAAGGCTCGAGGAAAAGCAAGCACAGGGTGAAGAGCAGCGAGAAATCCATCCATCCTTGAGCCAGCCCATACTCATGATCAGATGCTGAGCCAGACACAAACACTTATTTCCTCCACTCCTTCACCAGTCTTCATCCTGTCTCTCTGTCTTCTTGGCTCCTTTCTCTTGCTTCACCACATTTAGGGGCGTGGATGAACGAATTGTCTCCTGTTCCTCACACATTCTCTCTCCCTCCTGCACTCCCACACTCTTTATCTTTCCCCTATTAAATGACAATTTATTTTTACTCTTATTGCTCTCCCTCAACCTTCTGTCTGTCCTTTAATTATCAGCTCACTGCCACACTTCCCCTGCCTCCCTTCTGACTCTGACAGTCCCTCGCTCCTCACAGCAGAGAATGAAGGGGTGATGAAGCCAGTGAACATACTCACATAGCTCCTGGTCTGCCTGTTCACTCCAGTATGCAGCCTGCAGTACTCTCTCTCTTGCTCTTTCTCTCATCCCTCCTTCTCTATGTCTATCACCCTTGCTCTGTTTATCCCTCTCATTCTCTAATTTTTTGATCAGTTCCCTCCTCTTATTATCCCTTATCTTTTCTCACTCACACTATCCTACACCCTTTCTCTCACCGTCTATCCAGCTGTCTTGCTCAGTGTGGCAGTGAATTCTTTGGGCAGTGTACCTGTAAGCTTGCAGCCTCTGCTGCACCATGCTGCCCCCCCTAACTTAATTAAATGTTATCTCGAGGAGCAAAAACAGCAGCTTATCATGAATCAACAATGAGACCACAGACCTAACATATTCCTATCAGTCAAGGCAAGAGTTATTAGTCCTGTTGCTATTAGTCACAGCTGTCTTCTGCATATTATTACATCCTGGTTACAATAGCTAGAAGTCGGTGGAAGCGGTTGCCTCAGAAACCATAATCAAGGTGACTCAAATCATATGTTTACACTGTGAGAGACATGAGCCCGCAGCTACCCTGTTCACAAATTTTTGTACTATTATTAATCAGAAAGTACACACAGAAATAAAAATACAATACAATAAAGACACTACTATTATTTTGGAGCTTACCCACAATTTTTTTCTTTTAGTGTCTACAAATAATTGTACAAAAGCACAAAAAGAGAGATGAATAAAAATTTGTGCAGTTTTAATGTTTGAGTATTGTCAATATTGAACTTGGCTCTCTATGGAGAAAGAGTAAGAAAAATGAAAGATGTGAAATGACCACGAAACATGTGACAACAAAAGAGGAATATTTAAAATGGACCTCAAACAAAGGGAAAGGTCAGTAGTGCAGTCTAATTTTATCCTTCAAATGAGGGGCTACTGAAGAGCCACAACCAAAGCAAAATGTCTGGAATGTTCCTGCCAACCTGACATCCTCAAACCTGTAATCACACTCTGCAGCTTATGCATTCTAAGCTTTGCAGATGCTTGAAGCACTGCCTTCACTTTGAACCTGACATTTTAGTTTTCATTTTATTAGCTGTTTGTTTGATATATCATCAGAATTTACCTCTGATATTTCTGTTTTCCTTTGGCAAAACAATTAGCACCTTAAACAAAGTGGACAATTCTTTCATAGGTAAGACTGATACATTTTAGAGAACACAAAGTAATGTAAAATTAGAGGCATGTGGGTGTGACACTAAAGACTTGAATTAGAAATGGCAAAGTCTAACTGACAACAGGCTTTTCTGTGCCCGTGGTTTGTGTGTTGCCTGGTTTATGTAACCTCTCATTCTGATTCTTGTCAGAATCTTAAAGTCTTTGGCTAGAAACTCCAGACCTGTCAGCTGCAGTGTTCAACTGCATAGATGCCATCTGGCTGGAATTAAAGGACAATGAAAACATTTGCAGGAACACAATCTCACAACAACCACAAACACCAGTTCATTATGCTAGCCACAGCACTAGCCTTCAAAATCTCTAATCTCTCTTTAACTATCCTCTAGGGACACTGCGACAGATCCTGCAGCCTTCTCTTTCTCAAACATTACAAAGAACTGATCATGTAATACACCAATCTTAGTGTAAAACAGAGAGGGACCTGATCTGATCCTATATCAGTACTGGGTCCGGTAGTGACATCATTCAGCCATGCAGGGCACAGGGTGCCAAAGAAATCTCTCTAGGACTGTGCATGCATGAGGGATAAACCCAATAGTGACAGCTCTTAGAGGGCAAAGACTATACAAAATAGAACTCTGAGAAGTGTGTGTGTCCTTGGCCTCTGACCATCTAGTGGATGTACTTATCCATTATTACTCATTTTTAATACTTTGTTTATTAGTTTAGATTTTTTTTTAATTGCAATGAAAAAGTTCTTGTTTTGGAATTTTCAATTGTGTATTGGAATTGGGTTGGAAATGAAAAAATGTGGATCAGCCCATCGCTAATGTAAAATATTGTACAATTTTCCACTTCCTAAATAGGAAAATGCATTGTCTACAGAATGATGTAGTGCTGCTGCACTACAGCATCTACATATCAACAAGACATATCATCTACATGCACTACAGATCAACATAAAATAAATACAAGTATTAAAGAACAGATGAAGGATAATTTCCTAAATTACCATCATTAAAAGATGCTAGTGTTAATACACAGTGACAAATGCACATTCTCACACCCACACAGCATACAGTACTGTATGTGTTGACCGGTTGTACCTGATATCTCCTCCAGGCACTGTTTGGCTGTCTTGTTGTAGACCAGCTCTCCCTTTGTTGGGCTGAGGCAGGGGTCAGCTGGGGCCACCATTGTGCAGTCATTTTCTGAGAATGTCCTGAAGGCATAAAGAACAAATATAGCACAGCAGTTACACAAACAGGCTCCACTACAGTCTTTTCAAAATGACCACGAAGGAAGAATTCCTACAAAATTTATTATAAACTGCTCCAGTGTGATGTGCATTTATTCATTTTTAAACAATGCAAGGAAATTATGAAACTAATGTATTATGGTATTTTCTGGTCAAAAATTTAAAATGAATGATAATCCACTCAGACCATCCAATGAATTTAAGGCTGTCTAATAGTCCAACCTAGTCTCAATGCTTTAAAAAAGTGATCTATTTTACAAATTATGGTGATCAATTTTGGCTATGACCTGGACTGTTTCCAGCTTTTATTAACATCCATCCATTATCTATATACTGCTTATTGCTGAATATTGTCACAGGGGCGCTGGAGCCAATCGCAGCTGACACAGGGGTACACCCTGGACAAGTCGCCAGTCACAGGATAAGGATAATCACCTTTATTGACAAGTATGTTTCAAACAAGGAATTTGTTTCCAGTACAGAACCGACGGCAGCCACCTACGGCGGGAACTCAACCAATGGCTCTAACCATCGCGGGCAATGGGGGTGGGGTTCAGTGTCTTGCCCAAGGACACTTCGACACGTGGACTGCAGGCACCGAGATTCAAACTTTCAGCCTTCTGGTTGGGAGATGACAGCTCTACCCATTGCACCACTGCCGCCTCCCCACAGGCATGTAGACAAACAATTGCACTAACTCCTAAGGGCAATTTAGAGTCACCAATCAACATGTCTTTGGACTGTGGGAGAAAGCCAGAGTACCCAGGGAGAACATGCAAACTCTACACAGAAAAGCCCAAGGTTGGCCCGGGCTCAAACCCAGAACCTTCTTGGTGTAAGGCAACAGTACTAACCACCACGTCACTGTGCCACTGCTTTTAGTAACATTTTTTAAGCAAATACATTAGATATCACATTTTACATTAACATGTTTAAACCAACACTGTAAGTATTTCACACAACTGTTGTACTCCAAAATTCCATCTTCATGTAAGAGGCTAGTTTGTACCATTGTTGTCCAAGTTATTTTCTGTCCCATTAAGTAGCACCATTTATGTTATTTTAGTATGGCATTAAAAACTACTACCATATTAAACATTTACTATCACATAAACATATTGTCTCTGGAGTGGTTAACATGTCACAGTGAGTCAAGCAAATACATTTGTTGAAACTGAAGCATTAAAGGCACCAGTAAGTGAGAGATGTTGTTTGTTTTAGAGCAGCAGCCATAAACATCTTTCCCTTGCATTTATTCTGTGTTTCTCCACTATTAAACAAGAAAAGGGTTTGGATTTCTGAGTCGGCTTTTGATCTCAGTCACACATGTACAGTAAGGGAGGAGGGGAAGGTCTCAGATCAGATGTTTTCTGATAGTGTTCTTATAGTGTGAATCAACCTCTCTTCCTCAAGCCTGAGCACTGTTTGCTGATCTAAAGAAAGAAGGATAGAGTCCAACATACTTTGTGAGATAATGTGGCCTACACACATGCATGCATGGCGGATTACAAGTATGCACAACCATGCACAGCCGGTGAGACAGGGTTAAACACAGAGACAGATGATACACATACAAACAGAAAGAAATGCACACAGACAAACACACATAGGATTGAAACCTAACAAACTAATACTTATCCACAGCACAGACAGAAACACACATAGGATTAAAACCTAACAAACTAATACTTATCCACATGAAAATCCTGAAATCCATAAACAAACATCCTGTGGGATCTAAGCACAAGTAACCAGGTCACTGGCCTAGGCATCTTAACTATCTATCTTATCTTATACTGGAGTTCTTTGCATATACACTACAGACATACCAGGGACCACCACCTGCAGAGCTGCAGAAAAAAAAAACAGCTCCAAATGCAACAGCAGCATCGGTGTTTGACTTCTTGCAAGCTTCCCTCACGTTAGTGGCTTCAGAGACAGCGATATTCGCTACTACTGCGGTAGTCCCTGTTTTGTTCATTACCATTTTTTGTGGGCACAAATTGATCCTGCCCACTAACTACAGAAAGGTTCTGCAATCACACTGGTCTGCTAAGCATAGCAGTTCAAGTTAAAACAAGTTAAAGAAAAATTGAACAAGGCAAAGATGCCTAATTGTGCTGAAAATGATGGCAAACTGCATCACAGCAGGAGGGTCTGTGTGCTGTCTGTATGCTGACGGCTGTGGGTAAGACCTGCTGGTGATGAAGAACATATACAATAAGAAAAGAGGAGGATGGAGGCTACAGAAATATTGTATGCTCACAATATCTTGGTACAGGGCAAAAAAGGGTAGAGTGTGGCTATGAATCTGCATTGTATGTGAATGGCATATGCAAGGTGCTGACAGAATCAGCTGTGTCATACCCTCTTTGATTCAGTGTATAGAACAATATAGCAATAATTTGAACTAGTTTAAATGTGTTACTTAATGTATAGAAAAAGGCCAGATCACACCAGCAATTAAAACTTTTCATTTTCGTTTTAATTCCCTTCCGCATAACTGACTATCCTTCACTATCTGCCTAGGAATGATACCCACAGCAGTTTTAACCCCCTAAATGAGTGGAATTACAGTACTGCTAATGCTCAGAAGAGGCACTGCTGAGTGTGGCAGAGCTGACTGTGCACAATGGAGGAGGTAGCTGAGATAGGGAGAGAAGAGGTGAAAGATTAAGCCTTGTTTAATGGGATTCCTGACTCTCTTTCTTTTAGAGCACAAAGGCATCCCAGAGACTTTGGCGGCTCCTCCAGTTTTCCACCTGGATTACCTCTGCTGTCGTAAGAGAAAATTGGCCCTGCTGGGTAGATTTACCCACTTCCTGCACTTCTGATGGCTGTAACATCAGGGAACATGCCAGCTCCACACTTTAAAACAACACTGGTTGAATGAAGACAAGGGGAATAGTTTCCTGATCACTGCCAGTGTCTGGATTCTCCCATCAAAGATGAAACCCTGACAGTTAAATAATAGGCTTTGGCAAGCAGCAGGCAGTGGATGTTAATTTGTTCTGTAATGAGTGTGAAGAGATGTGGAGGCGAGAGCAAGATGCACAGTGGGGAGCACCAGTTGATCACATAGAGAACTCTAGGATTTCATGGTCAAAACTCAAAGGGTTTATTTGTCACATGCACAGTTAGGAAACGTGTTTCCCTGTACAATGAAATTCTTACTTTGCTGTCCACATGAATGCCACATAATACAAGTGAAATATAAAGTAGATGAAAAATAACACCAAATAGGCAGTAAAATCACAAATCATGGTGTGTGCGTGTGTGTGTGTGTGTATGGGGGGGCAGCTGTAAGCATGTGTCTGAATTTATGCAGGCACGACTTTGCGACAAAATGTAAATATAGAAAAAATGTGTGGGAGAGATGAAAATATTAGTGTGAAATTTAGTTTGTATCCTATGATGGTAGAGTGCATGTCTCACCTGTACATGAAGGGGGCCACAGTAGCAGTATTGGGGTGGTTGTGCTGCTGCTGCTGAGGAAGCTGAACTACTCCGTTCCCTCCAAGCACTCCTCCACCTCCTCCTCCACCTCCTCCTCCTCCTCCCAGCATTCCACTGGACCCAGACAGGGCTGAGGTGCTGGTGGAGGAGGTCATGCTGGTCCGTTTGCCCTCTGGGGCCCCAGTGGAGCGCTGTATGTAGAAACTTCCACCCTGTCCTCCTTTTGTCAGCTTGCCTCTGTCTCCCTCCCCACCCCGCATGTTGCCACTGCTGTTTAAAGCAGCCTGACTCTGGGTCTGGGACTGACTCTGAGACTTTGCTGTCGACGCTGAGGGAGCTTTAAGTCCTGGCTTTGGGATGCCACTTGAAGCTGAGGAGGTGCCGCCATCTTTCTTCCCCGATGATGGCTTCCCTCCCTTGGGGATGAGGCTGGCAATTTTAGAAGTCTTCTTGGTGGAGTCGACAAATAATTCACGGTCTTCTTTTGGTGGAGAGCTGTCCTTAGAAGATTTCCCAGACTTGCTTTTGTCTTCCTTGTCTTTGGATGTGGCCACAGACCTACTGCCATTGCCAGAAGATTTTGAAAATGAAGTTGTCTTGCTAGGTGCTGTGAGGGATGATGTATGGGTCTTGGTAGGCATTTGTGTGGTTGTAGCACTGCTACTGCCGCTGCTGCACACTGACCCTGTGGGTGTCAACACATCCTCACCATATTCTGACAGGTCATCCTCTTCCTGCAGAGCCATCTCTGCCACAGATGGTGATGCTCGTGAAGCTGATCTAGGGTTAATCAGGCGGAACTTCTCCAGCATAGACCTCTGGGGTCCACCACCGACAGCCGAGCCTACTTTTGACCCATCGCTTCCGTGTGACTGGGGACCTTCCAGGGCCTGAGGTGAAGGGGTGATGGAGGGTGAAAGTGTAGGGCTTGCCAGCATGGACGAGGTGGCACTGTGCTTTAGATTCATGGACTTGCTGCGCCAAGACTTGCCAGCAGTGGGTGAGGGGATGGCAGAGGCCAGCTGCTGCCCACTGAGACTGGTAGGAACTGGTCCACCAATACTGCTCCCATTCATTCCACTGGGTACCGGGATACCCTTCACAGCCTCTGAACCAGGGAGGAAAAGAGAAAGAGAGAAACAGACTGAGTTAACTAAGAAATTCAATGTTATGATGGAGACATACTTTTACGCACTGTACCTTTCTGGGCTGTTTTGACTCTTCTAGATGATTACATATTCATAAACTGCTTATCTACTTTAGATTACATTAAGTTCATAAAGTTCATTAAAAGATGGGGGATCAAGCATGTACATTGCAAACTGCATTATTTTGATTAAATTTGATTACTGCAATTTCTTTCGATTCCATTGTTCATTCATGAATCTAAGTTTGGAACATTTTACACAGTATTTGTATTCATAGTTAAGACTAAGGATCATAGTAGATACATCAGTCTGAGAAGTCACAGGTGAACAAAGTACTCTGCTGACTTCTTCTGTGGTTTACATACATTGATCTCAAACTCAAAGTCAACCAAAAGTGGGAAACTCTTCATTTTTAGCCTTTTGATGAATGCTAGGAGGCTTTGCTTTAAAATTTTTAGATATTGAATTGCATTCATTCTTCCTTCCACTTTATGCAGAGCTCCAGTGCCTGATGCAGACATACACCCCCAAAGTATCAAGGAGCCTCTACCATGTTTGAGTGTGAGAACGGTGTTCCTCTCCTCATAGGCAGAATGTTTTTCTCGCCACACATACCTGTGTGAATTATGACCAAATTCAACTTTGGTCTCATCAGACCACATAATCATGATCCTTAGCATACACCAAGCATGCCTTATGTCCAGAAGTAAGCAATGGCTTCCTGCATGCTTTTCTCCCAAACAATCTAGATTTGTGGACACTACGCTTGACTGTGGAGATGTTATTCCAGTTGCCTCTAAGGACTTTGTCAGGTCCCCTGCTGTTTGTTTTGCATAGTTCTCAAGGAAGTTTCCTAGTGCCTCTTTCAGTTCTGATAATAATTCAAAGCTGTTCAATAGTTAATTATGTAATAATTTCCTCAAACTGATTTTGTAATGTCTGTGTCTACATAAAGTTGAAATCAGAATTATTTACCTCACATTGCAAATTAGGCGTATTGGCAATGTTTTACAAACTTTCAGCTGTTTGTAATGAACATATAGTATCAAAGAAGAACAATTTAAATAGCTCAACACAACTAATTTAACAAATGGTTTCTCCAAATTTAACACAAAATACAACTTTTAATCACTTATGTAGTCTTTCAAATTATTCAACCCCCTGAACAGAATCCCTCATAAGAACACACGTTTGCAAATCAGGTGTTGTCTCAAGCACACCTGGGTTTCATTAGTTGCACCAGGTAGAGCACATGAAATACCAGAATTGGCTATGGGTTTGTTGAGTGTCACATTTGACTGAATGTTAGAAACATAGCTAAGTCAAACAAATTGTCAGAAAGGTTAAGAGTTTATTGCCTTTCACAAACAAGGAAAAGGATATAAAAAGATAGCAAAGGCACTGAATGTTCCTAGAGACACTGTTGGAAACATAGTTTGCAAGTTACAAGTTAAAGGAACAGTGGACACACTACCTCAATAGCTGCAACCAGATTTTTGAGGAAGTAGGTGGTGAAAAACCTACAAGTGACTGCAAAACTGCAGCCAGACTTGGTGGCAACAGGTACTGAGGTTTCAGTTTACACAGTAAACACTGAAGGTTTCCATGCTAGATCTCCAAGATATACACCACTACTGACCAAAAAGCACAAGAAAAGTTGACTCCAATATGCGCAAAATCACATAAATAAGTCACAGATGTTTTGGGATTTTGTTCTGTGGTGCTATGAAACAATACTGGAACTTTTCTGGCCTGTGGATCAGCAGTATGTCTGGAGGAATGAATGGAATATGGAATGAAGCATATGCTGAAAAGAACACCCTGCCTACAGTGAAACATGGTGGTGGCTCGGTGATGCTCTGAGGCTGCTCTAAAATTAAACCTGTAGTTCTCCTTTTGGCGACCAGATGTCACAAAGCCTACTATACTGTCCACCAACAGTATAGGAATCTGAATTGCCAAGTATACAGTATTATATGCTATATATGCTGGGTTTCAAATCTCTAGTCAAAGATCTACTCCATTAAACATGCTTAACACAGCACCATAAGTTACCGGCATACGGTAGTAAACACCATGTAGAGTATGCTGCAAAGAAGTAGACAACCTCTTTGCAAACACTAATTTTAAATGTGACTTATCATACACCTGCTGTCTTAACCCTGTATTTCTGTTGACTATGACAGACAATGTGGTGGACATACAATTGTCTGTAGATTTTATCAGGAACAATATTTTCTATTTAAGGTGATTAAAACACAATATCCCACACCATAGGCCAGAATGGAGGTTTATCAGCTGTGTACCACTGCGCTATTTATTTAAACCACCCCTCCCAAATTACTATTTTATAGCCGACTTTTTCAATCACATTTCTCTTAAAACATTTCTATTGTTGTGTCTACAAAATATGACAAAATGATAAGTGTTACTCACACAAACTACAACTAATCTGCACAAGACTATCCATTTTTAAATGAATACCCTATAAAATACAGCAAAAATATACTGATTTACAACCAAAACAGCCACAAGAAAAGGTGAAGCAATTACATGACTTGAATCAGAAATATACTTGATGATGCATGATGTCCACTTCATTGGACACATGGTTAATTGTAACGTACTACTTATTGGAAACAATTTTTTCAAAAATAAAATAATGAAATTATTACTTTGATGTTACTGTACATCATCATATTTTTTACCTCTAGGATTCCTCTGGAATAGAAGGTCTGACAGGATATTCCAGCAGTAGTCAACAAGTTTGGCTTACTGTCGGCCATCTTGGACTCAGAGGAAATTCACTTGCAGTTACAACAACTGACCACTGAATAAAACTCAATGGAGTGGTGCAGTAGAGAGCACTCTAGTGGCTGATATGCAGTTTCATCATTGAAACCAGTGCATTTAGGAGAAAATGAGTTTTGAATAGCTGTTCACTGCAGTGACCACTATGTGCCTGATTAAATATCTCTGACACTATGCAATATGGCCATTCATTACAGAGAGAGAGGGACCCACTGAATGTGGGAGCTAGTCAGGCAGTCTGATGACAATGGGGGACATTTTAATATAGCTGCCTTCCATTTAACCATGCTGGCATGTGGCTTGTTGTAGTGTGGTTAAAACGAACAGTGACCATGCCCGTGTCGTGTTTTGGAAAACACCCTATTCTTTGTTTCAACCAGTTATAAAATAAGCAGAGGATATTTTGAGCATCATCACATCTGAAAAAAGACAGTTTAGTCCAGCTAGTTTACTAGTGCAGCTGTATCAAACTCCAAAAACAGTGGTACAGTACACAGCCAAAGGATGAACCATAAAACAGAGCATAAACCCAGAAGAACTGACAGACATTATGTGCGCATTATGTGGTAGGCGTATACAGTGCAGTAGTCCATGTCAGTTCATATGTCAACCAGCCACAGTGAACACAATAGCTGTGAGTGTGGCTCCTGGGCACGTGCCAATGTTTTTGGCCATTCTATATCCTCAGTGGGCCACGCACAGCTGATCACTCACAGGTGTACTACACATGTAAAACTGTTCTGATTGCCACATCATAGAGGCACATGTTAAATACAAAACAGTGTTATTGAGAAATATATGGGGTGTTTTTAACAGACTAGAGGATGTTTTGAGCTTCACTTTGTCTACTCAGGCCAGGACCAGTGCATGCACTTCTGAACTAGGCAAAGCCACCTCTGCTGCCCCTCTGAAAAAGCACACAAACATCAACATGCCATACACATAACACAAACAGACCAGTATAACTAGTGTGCTCAGAGTGCCAAAGCAGTTTATGCATGATGCAATATGTGGGCATTTTGCAGGTCCATATAGAAATGGAGAACAAAACCATGTTTTGGTGATATGGGTCCACCACACCCCCAGAAAAAAAAATTGAGATTTAAGATTTGCCCTTCCTGTGTAAAGTTATAGATGTCAATGCCTACTGTAAATGCATTTACTTTACAGTATATCTGCCATGTGCTGTGATTAAATTGCTTAGTCCAAAAATCCTTTAAAAACTGTGCACCCAAGACGTAGTTCAGTTTTGTTTTATTATGATTAATTATAAAATAATCAATTCATGACAACACTTTGAAGAGGTTTATAGGCCACTGTACAGAGTGATCGTTGGTTACCAACCAGTCAAGCCAAAGGAGCAGGGGGGGTCATATGGAAGTTGGCCCCCATCCTAACATTTGAGGGAGTACAAACCACATTTCAAGTGCTACTCAGTTTGCAGCTCAGCATTTGAGAGCATGCAGACACAGATTTGTAAGTGCAAATATAAATTTGAGAGCATAATGGGAGGTGGCCGATCTCCTGTCATGGTGCAAGGGCAATAACCTCACCCTCAACATGGACAAGATGAAGGAAATGATAGTTGACATGAGGAGGGAGAGGAGATCTCATTGGCCACTCTTAATCCAGGGGCTTGAAGTGGAGAGGGTGAGCAGCTTCAAATACCTGGGCGTCCACATCAGTGAGGACCTCACTTGGACACTTCACACCACACAGCTGGTCAAGAAGGCCCAGCAGCGGCGGCTGTACTTCTTGAGGAGGCTGAGGAGGTTTGACATGTCGCTTAGGATCCTCAGCAACTTCTACAGCTGCATCATTGAGAGCATCTTGACCAGAGGACTTCTAGACTCTTTCTTTCCAACTGCCATCAGACTCCTAAACAGCTGACAGGGGTTCACAATCAGGGATTACTTCATGTAATTGCACCTGTACTGTTTACATGCTCAGTTGCACATGCATAATTACACATGCATAGTTGCACATCTACTGCTGACTATTGCACATTCACCTCTGATGCAGGCGTTGTCATTATACTTTTGTATACTTATTATTTCTTTTCACTTGCTGTTTAAAGTGCCTTTAGTCATTGTGCTACTATTTATCTACTTTATATTTCACTTGTGTTGTTTGGCATTCAGGGTGGACG